TCCAAGCTCCATCCCAGGGTTCTTCGCAGTATGTGTCTATTTATTCAGCCACTGTGACACTGTAGACAGGAGATGCCAAGATGCCTTAGGTTCTTTCTGTTCGGGAGCCAGCACTGCTTCCAGACAGATTCCACTGGGCACTGTTACCTTGGCTAAAACCAACTGGGCCAAGGCCCAAGGTGGGACTGGTTGAGAATCCTCAGCGATCTGCACTGGAATCCTGACCACTGGAAAATGAAACACAGTCCAGCTGCCGTGCATCCAAACCGTGAGAAGACTGTGTGACAATGACCAGCCTGGGCACCCACAGGCAGGTTGCAGTGTCCCTGGCCTCTCCCTGCCAGCTACTGATACCCATCATGCACTCCAGAGCCTGGCAGGGTGGGAGGGAGCTACCAGGAAGCCTACCAGGAAGACCTAGGGCCACCCTGGCAGCATACAGCATTCGCTCCTCTCTGGTCCTGCCTCTGATTCTCCAGTCTCATGGCTCAGTTCGCTCTCACTTCGGGGCCTACCCGTCAGCCACTATCAGGACAGGCGCATCTCGCCTCAGGGAAAAACAGCTGATTGTTCAAAAATGGAGAAAGATGGAAATGAAATGCAATCCTAGTTTGAAAGCATTAGTTAAGCTGCATTTAAAGGTGACTTGAAAAGGAATAAGTTTGAAGTAGTTGATATGCTTTTCAAGCTTAGATCTTACAAACAGAAACTTTTCTAGTTACTTTATGATAGGCCAACTCCTTAAAGTCATGATTATCTAGAAAATTTTGCTTTGGCTTCCATTCTCAGGTACAGGAACACAAGAATAGTGCTGCGTTTAAATTATCCAGAATTTTAACCCAGCGGCATAGTTTGCTTGAGCAAGAGAATGGACCAATATGGTCACTGGATTAACTTGAACTTTGGCAGGAGGAGAAATATCAGAGGTTCATGAATTTTAGTCTACTTGTTGTAAGGACAACTCTCATTCCTGTCACATAGCCAGTGTCCTAGAAGATTCCGTCTTTGAAACAAATTACAGTTATTAAAGATAAGCCATCACTTTCCCCAAATGTTTTCTGTTTATGATATCTTTAGGATATGTTAACCTAGAGTTGATTTAATTACAGCCGAAGATAGAGAATCTGACATAGGTTCTCCCGTGTAACCACCTTCAGGAGACTTTTTGATTTCCAACAAGCTTTTTGAAACATTAAACGCATCTCACAGACACCAGTGATGGTAGAGCAGTCTGAGCCTGGGACCCGATTTGATGCCACCCCCTAATGAATTCCAAGCTCACTGTATAGAACCCAAGAGGCTGAACGCTTCCGTCAAAAGGAGGAACTGGCACTGTCAGGGCCGGCCCCAGGTCGTGGGGACAGCAGTGTGCTCACTGAGGCTCACTCTTCTTGCACAACCAGCTGCACAGCTACCCCAGGCCGGGTCCTTGCTCTGCTCTTAAAGCCTTTAAAGGCGAGGCCTTTTGAGGTGGACGCCACACGCAACCCCACTTCAGTCAGCAAAACCAGGGCACCAGCAGCACAGCGGCTACTGGGCAAGGCCAAGGTTGCACAGCAGCGGTTGGACAGTCCGACTCCAAATCCCACACTTAACCCTCTGCTGTATTCCTCTCACCACACACCCACAGCTCCTGCGCCTCCAGCGAAGCAGGCGAGAGCCTTGAGGCGACGCCTACACCTGAGCTCAAAGACAGTTTGGAGGCATCTAGGGACCTGGAGAACAACGGGAAGCTCTCCCAGCTCGAGAGGAGGAAGACAGTCATCTATCTCTTCCAGCAAAAACATCAAGGAAATCCTTTAGTCCCTGGCAATTTTTTCCCAGCTTCATAAAGAGATTTGACCAAAGAAATAACTGTCTCATTTATACCTTTTCAGTCCCTAGGCCTCTCCTTAAAGGAAGTGTATTTTGTCGGACCCTGGGGTGGAGGGACCACCAACCACTCAGACCTCAGAGATGGCAGCTCCTCCTCTGCTCCTCTGCTGCCTCCTCCTTCCAGCACACAGGGGTAGGAGGAGCTGGAGGCGGGGTAGATGTCTGGGGTCCACCGCAGGGTGACCTGCTGGTGGTCTTAGGAACGCTGTGGGCATGGGAGGCTGCGCCACAGCTGCACTTCGAGGGCTGCAGACAGGGGCAGGAGCTCCTGGGTTTGTGTGAGAGCCCACAGCGAGGACCCCGGGCGGGTGCCAGGACCCAGCCGCCCCGGGGGACGCCCGCGTGCAGCAGTGGCTGCTGCCCAGCACTGGGTGCCCAGGCCCCTGCCCCTGAGTTCTGCCCATTGTCTCAGGGGTCTGGTGGGAAGTGGGGTAATGACTTCTGTACCTGCAAATTCTCTTTTTAAATTTGTGTCCTGCCTCTGATAAGCCACCTTATAAAAATGTATCAATTTAAATCAAGGAAATAGTTATGAAATGGGGTTGAGAAACATGGGAAATTTCATGAAAAATGATTAATACCTCTCCACACATTCTAACAGTTTCATTATGGTCAAAAACAGGTGTTTCCAGGCTGTGAATAAGCAGCTTGGATTTTCAAAATTAACAAATTGGATCAACACTAAGAAAAAAACCCAGCCATAGACAGCCCACCAGAGCCCTGTTTACCGAAGAAGCAGCAGCTCGTGGCAATGGTTTGCAAACACCACCAGACTAGCTTGTGTAAATTCCCTCCGTTTAGTCATCGTTCTTCAGCCTGTCACAGATACTGAAGAGAAACAGGAAATTACAGACTATTTTAAACAGCATGTTTTATTAAACTCACTCGCTGATGCACTTTGGGGCAGGGTGCAAGATTCAAGTGTTCATAACTTACATCTGTGCCCGTGCTTTTTCTACGCGAGTTCCCCCAGCTAAAATATGGTATGTGCCCAGGCAGGGAGCAGGCTGGAAACAATCTCTGAACTAGTAAGTGTGTCACTCCAGGTCATGTAGCTACAGCACATACAAAAGAGAGATTTTAGCTATGTGAAGAAAACAGAATGATTACGCACTATAAAAGACCCTTCATGCATCTATTTTGAACTACAGAATTAAAACACGGCAATCTTAAAATGAATTCCTAGAAACCATGCATCATCTGTTTTTGACTTCAGTACTGATTTTGTTGTTCTCTTCATGGAGTTCTGCGTCTGATTTAAACCCACGCTGGTAACGGTGTGCCGAATCCTTTGGGAAGGCTAGTACAATTGGCAGGGGTGCGGTAACCTTAACTGCAAATGAAACGATCAAATTTAAGGGGCTGTCCTAAACATGGATTTGAACAACTAATTATTTCCAGAAACGTTTGCTGCTCTCAGTGTTTGGGGGATAGAAAAGCCTGGTGGCATCACGTAAGAATCCTTGTGTGTGTGTCTGATGCTTACTGTGCAGTGCGTGTCTCTGAAGGCCCGTCTTCCTCTCTGCTCTCCTGATGCACAGAGAGGAAGTAATCCAGCAGAGTTATAACGCAAGTTCAAGATGAGGATGGTAGCCACACTCCCCCAGAGCTAACGATGAGCTCTAAAAAGAAATTTCATTTACTTGCTTCAGCATCTGTTTAATAAAATCGCATGTAAAATGTTCTAAATTTCTGTTGCTCAAAAGATTATGCCAAAGATGCTTTTCTCTGAATAGTGATTGTCAGAGTGACGTCTGCCTTCCTCCCACGTCCCATCCCTGCAATCTGTACAGCATAGTAAGATTTTCAAAAGGGAAGCATATGTCACCTTTGTCCTTGGAAGGGCCCTTTGCCAGACCACATTTTATAGTCACTCACTTGCTGTTGGAAAGGAAGGAAAAGGGACAAAGGTTAACGACTTGGTTAGGGACCCAGATACCACGGGGTGTAGCAAGGGAAGAAAGTCTTGGGGAGTGGGCCACTTTCTTAGGTGGAGATTTCCCCTCGTTTGTCTTTCACAAGCCTGGACTCTGCCACAGTAGGTTTTCCTGGAGTAGAGGCAGCACGGCGGGAGGGCAGTCTCAGCCCTCCCAAGTCTCTCACACTGCCCCCAGCACAGGGCTGAGCTCCCCATCGGGGCACTGGGCCACCGGGAACATCTCGGTGTCCCGCACAGAGGAATGGCAGTGCTGGCAAGGTGTCGCTCAGTAGAGAACTTGCCTAGCATTAGCCCTGGTGAAAAGGAAACGAGTGACAATGCTGGCACAAGGGACCACACACAGGATGTGCCCGCACACGCATGCTAATGATGACAGGCCAGTTTCTATAATTTGGATGAGTGTTTAGGGGTTATTATTATTATTTTGGCAAAAAAAGATTTTCTTTCAGTAAGCTGGAAATGTCCTGGAAACAGAAGCCTGAGGACTAAGCACTGCAGACTTTCACACTGCTGCTCCAAGGGCAACTCACCTGCAGAGCAGCAGCTGCCGGGCCCAAAGCTCACGGGAGAGCTGCTGGACACCACCAGCTCCACTGTGTTTAGCTTTGGCCATCAAGAGCACCTGATCTGGTAATGCTGCGGGTGTTTAAAAAAGCAGAAGGGCAAGCCCTTTCTGTAATGTTTAAATCTCCATGCTGGTAATAGGAATGCTACATTTGACAAATTAATGAGCTTTCAACTAGTTTTCTCCCTTTATCAAGTAATACATTAGCTTCTAAGAATAACATTAGCACATAATTATATGGAATACTACTAGCAGTATCTGTGACTGTTACAAGCATATGGATCATCGTCTTCATGATGTGACATATCATAAAGGAACCACCAAGGGTCTGGGATTTACAGCTTCATGTAAGAGAATTTTGTTCTGAAACTTTCCCAAACCAAAAATCTTCACATCAAGACATAACCTTATAAATCATATCATGTATTAACCCTGTGCTTCTTAATCAAAAGAAATTGAAACCTACAAACTAGGACCACTCTGAAATACTGGTCTTTTAAAATACTCTTTATTTTGAAAACTACTGTGTGATCGCTGCCCACTATAATTTTGAGGGTTTTTTAAACCAAAACAGAGAATAATGGAAAAGAGAAACAGCCAATAATCATTTAAAAAGCTTAATGAATTTTCATCCTTTTAATAAATATATATCAAGAAAACTTCACTTTATTACAACACATTCATATACAAGCATCTATCATCTAAATTTTCAACCTCAAATGTTTATCGAATATTGAAAATAAAGGACAAAACATGACTAGACTATCGAGCTATAACACAATAACATGTTTTAAAAATTGGTCCTTGTGGACAACTGTCCAAATGATCCTACTCATACACTGTATGAATGAGACCTATATTTAATATTACTTGTGATAATAAAAAGGCTTTATCTTGGAGAAACCGGGAGGACTTACTACTTGTCCCCTCCATTTGGCCTTTAGTTCCCGTGAAGTGCTGTGTAAGGAGACCCAAATCGGGTGGTAACCTTGGCAACGGGAACAGTTTAGCAGGAGGAGTCGCTGGAGCAGAAGGAAGGCCGGTTGGAGGGCCACCCTGGACACTCGCCAACACACAGACTCAAGATATTATCAAGAAGAATGCTGGCCAAATACACAGTTAACAACTACATACCGAGTCCCTTTTCTCCAAAATAACTTTCCAAAAACTAAAATCGTTACATTCTTTAAGATAAACCTTATTGATCACATCATTTATTAACATTGTGCTTCTTAATCAACAGCAAAAGTCATATATAAAAAACCACATGCTTTTATAATCTAAACAAGTGAAATGATGCAGAACAGATAAAAGTATAATGCATGCCACGGGGTTCATGAACTTCATTGGACAAGAAAACAAAACAAAACAAAACAACCCAAACCCCAGCAACACACCACTGCCAGAGAAAAGCTCAAGCAGCTAGAGCTGGTTCCAAACAGCTCTCTCTGACGTCTCCTCCATCCCTTCCCAAACTGCTGAACCCAAAGCAAGTGGGCATCAAAAATAAAGGAAGAACAGAGATGTTGAATCAAAAGTTGAACACAATAGTTCAAAGTTAACAGTTTCCAAACCATATGGATCCACCCTGTGTTTTTTTTCCTGTTTGTTAAATCCCTGCTGTAACTCTGATTTATCCTTAATTTTCACATTGGCAAAAATTAAGATAAAGTAAGGCACCAAAAATCGCCCTGTATACCACCTCCTTCAAAGCCTCATCACCCATCACAGGCAAGTGGGGACCTACAGGGAATCCCCTCTGTGCAGACTGTGGCCCCGGAAAGGTGTGCATCATTATGTAGCATCCTATTTTCATCCATCACACAGAGACTGTTAAACACAGATACTTAACAGCACCAGGAAGCCGTTTCATCTAGCTCCCTGTCTTCAGTCTTTTATTTAGAAAACATACTGTATCCTACAGAAGAAGGTGGCCCCCTTTGCTGGTTACATTGTGTGCTTATCAAATAACTACCTATTAACTGGCAACCATGTCGCACTTTCTTAGCTAGCGGCAGGCTTCTGGGGGCAATGGAAATGTCACAAGGGTACACTGTCCCCAGTCTAACCTAGTGATCTTTTTTTTTGTTAAGAAAACTAAGATACACTTTGAAGCATCAAGTTGACTGTTTCTTGGTAAAATCACCAGATTTCTAAGTAGCTCGCTGATGCCACTATACAGATGTTTTAGCAATCTGCTCTCCAGGCATTGACACGGCACAGAATGTTCATGACATAATTTTATCAGTTGTACAAAACTATAAAATCCCTTCAAAAGAAAATGTATGAGAGCTAACTGATCATGCTGTGCATGCTTCCGAGTTTGGGTGGAAAGATGGCTCATATTTTACTCCCTTTGCTGCAGCGGTCTGTTACTTGGTAAAGGTTCTTTTTTCCTCAAAGACTTCTTCCAAGACTCACTTGCATTGTTTTTTTCATTATATCCAGGCTCAAAATAATCATAAAATTGGCCTTTGCACTCAACCTCAAGGTCACTTCCCAGAGGGTCCTGGTTGAGGGGTCACCACCTCTGTGAATGTCATTTGCCTTCTCATCGTTTCATTTGGCCTTTTCCTGGACACCAAGAGGCCTGACATTTGTATCAAAGATTTCATCGGCTGGTATCTGGCCATCACTCTTGTAAATAGCTGCACTGCCTGCATCGAAGTCCAACTGGTGGGAACAGCTCGGCAAAGGCAGAGAGGGAGAGGAGGAGGCGGAGGGGCTGCAGGCGCTTCCGACACGCGCGTTGACAGGAAGGGGCAGATTCAGGCAGTGGGCCCCACACTCCTGGTAAAAGCAGCAGGCGTGGAACTTTTCACACTCCTCTTTGGCCATGCGTGGTCGTTTTCGGTAAGGACAGTCTTGAGCCATGAACCACTCTTGGGCGGAGGCGCTGCCAAAAGGGGAGGCCGGGAAGCACCAGTTGCTCTGCATGATGATTTCCCCATGGATCCTCTTCATCAAATTGTTTATGAGAACGGATCTTCGGAGGTACACTTCGGGATCGTCAATAAACTTTAGCTTTTCTAAGGACATATAAAGGATGTGGGCTCGTTCCTCAAAAATCGAGATGGTCTAAAATTCAAACAAACAAAAAAAAGACAGAGAAAGCTTAGAAAACAGACTGTACAGAAATACCACGGCATATGGCAGTGCCTGGGTCTGGGAATGGGCTCTCACTTTCCCCAGGGTCTCCGAAAGAGGCAGACCCCGATGCTGCAGACGTCCTCCATCCTCAGCACAGGACTGCCCAACCCTTCCTGACCTAGGCGGGTCAAGGGCCAGGAATCCAGGCCCCGTGTAGACCTCAGCAAGGGCAGGACAGGTGGCTGGATCTTTCCTGGGCCAGGGAGGGAGATGCTGAGACACAACCTTTTTTGACCTGGATGTTCCTGACAGGGGTAGATCCACGGCTAAGACTCATCAAACTGTACTTCACTTGTACCTCTTAATGTGCGTGAACACAAACACATATGCATAGATGTGTGCACGCACCTACTGCACACCCATGCATATTTTTAAAAGACACTGAGATACGGCTCCTAATGGTATGCTCCACGTCTGGCCTCGCCATCAGGGGCGTGACACTTGGCTTCTTCTCCTCTTCTGGGTTTCATACTTGCAATTATCCTTGCTTGATAAGAGGACAACAGTAATTAACAAGTCGCAGAGCCAGAAGGGTCTGCAGTTGAAGGACCAAAGCGTGGGACCAGGCAGAAGAGATGCGCTCCTGCGCTGCGTGATCCATCGCTGTAAGACGGTCCTGCACATCCATCAGCAACGGGAAACCACTACTACCACAACACAGAACTCAAAGGGAATGCGCTGCTCGAGTCCTGGAGGTCAGCACTTCCAGGTCAGGAAAAAAGCAAACTGGTGGCAGAATCTGAGGAGTGTGAATTAAACCACCACAGACTGGTCAAAGGGAGAGACAGGGCCCACCAGGCGGGGGCAAGCTCAGGACTTGCAGTGCACGCTGGTGTCTTTTTATGAACAGGGTGAAAGGAGCTTCGGAAGGATGGGGTGTGTGGGAGCAAGAGGAGTCAGAGAGGAGGCTTTCCTGAAAATCTTCTTTAAATTTCAGACAGCTCTGGGGCTCTCCTCTCCTTGATCAAATCAACAAACTTCTTTGGAAGGAAACGTACCGTAAGGAAAAAGAACTATTTCTGAAGCTTAGGTTCCCAGCTCCACAATCCTATGCACTTTCCCTATCTTATCATTTTCTTGGTAAATGTGCAGAAAAGATAGCTTTGGTCTAACATATACAACGAGGGCACCATGAGGCACAGGTTCACACAGCATACACACATCTGAGGGACGGCTGGTCTACCCTAAGGGCTCAGGAAAAGCCCTGGGCAACCACCCCACTGGGGCTCAGGCAGGCAGCACTGGCCCTGGAGGTGGAGCTCAGACTGGGGAGGCATGGCAGGAAGGAACAAGCACGTTTCCCGGCACAAAGGCCTTAATGAAATGTGGGAAATATTAAATCATGCATTAGAAAGACGCTCTTTGGGCTTTATAATTTTGTTATTTCTGGGTAGAGTATCTCTTTCTGGCTCTTCAAGTACTTGTGAAAAATAACATAGGACCCAAAAAAGTGACAATGATTTATGTGGTTCTACAAAGAAGTGGCTCATTTTCATTGCTTTGGGTGAAACAATTTAATTTTTGGAAATGGATCAAGCAACTGTTACTAAGTATCTTAAACGCTTAATAAAAATAATGACTATTAAAAAAACATACTTTATGGCTACAGCTGCTGAGTGGTGGGTGAAAATCCTCTTCTTCCACATACTTCCTCTTAAAGTATGTAATCTTGGATGTTGTTATGGGATTTGAAGTTCCCCTGTAATGTGACCCTGTGGTAATAAATCAGATATGACAAATGACATGCGGTTTGCCAGAGGTTCTCCAAACAAAATACTTCCATTTCCTTTCTTCCTAGAGAATAACTTGGCTGCATCTTTTGTCTGTACATGCAGCAATTAAAAATAAACATTTGTCTTAATAGTGGCTATCATACGAAATCCTGCGACCCAGGCCAGCCTTGGATTTCTATGCAATTCTAGAGGAAAATGACATCTTTCAACATTTACTAAATACTCACAATCTTAATTCTGTGCACAGGCAAAGAGCAAAATTTATAAAGAGAAGAATGCTAACAGCTCCGAAATAATGTCAGTATTTATTCAAATCATTTCATTAAACCCAGACAATATAACACTTCTGTTCAAATGCAACCACTGGCACCCAAGCCACCTGAAAATACTATTATTGGTTCTAGGTTAGTAAACAAATGGTTATTTGCACATTGGAGCTATAACATTTATTTTAAATACAAAATTTAAACATGTAAATATAAATTTTGAGTAATTAAAGTCCTTTTCACTCTTACAAATGTAACGTCAACCATGAATAAGGTAGGGCCTACATTTTAAAGACCACAGCTTTTACCTTTTTGGCAAAACACACTTTCCTGAATTCTTGTTTCATATTTGCTTCTTTTTTAAAAATAGCTTTCCCTGTGCAAAAATCCAAAGGACACATGTATCTTAGACTATAAGAATAATCAGGAAGAACATATTTGTTTTCTTGGCTTTACTTTTCTCCTTTTTTCTCTAACGACACTAAAGCCAATTGTGTGCTGTATAAAGAGAAGAGGCACAGAGCTAGCTGCCTGCCCAAGGTGCAGACTCCCTATAAAGATCTCACTGTCAGCCCCCAGGGATGGTGCAGCCCAGAGAGAGCCACACACTTCTACAGCAGAGGAAACCAAAATCCGAACTCCTAAAACACAGACCCTGACTTCTTCGCTGGCAGCAGCACAGGTAGACACAGGTCTGAACGCAATTCAAACCCTCCCCGGCCTCTCCCAGGAGCCCTGCCTGGCTCAGGAGGCAGCCTGCAAGCATGGAGCGTGAGCTCTGTTCCGTCTGTCTACCAGCCGGCTGTGGAGGGCAAGGGAAGATGAGAGCAGTACCTGCCGGGGGGTGCCCGGGTCCCCAGTCTCCCTGCAGGGGAGCCTTTCCGGCCCCGGGGCCTCAGACCTCGCTAGCTGTCAGCCTCCCATGGTGCTTGGTACCCAGCAAGTTCAGCAGCTCCTTCAGAGACAATGGGCTCGCAGAACCTATTCATGGACAGAACCAGAGTCATCTCTGACAGCCTCAGATCTGGAAGAAGAGAAAAGGGAAACAGCTCCGATCAGGAGTGAGCCGGGTGGCCTTGGCATCCTCACTTCTTTGCTTTGAGAAACTTTTACTTCCGGCCCTCCCCTTACCCCTGAGCCATTTGATTATTTTTTCCAAGAAACCTCAGCAAACTCTTGCTGCTCTCAGCTCAGCCTCCACGCTCAGCAGTCTGAGTCTCAGGGGCGGATCTTTCAAATCCCATCTCTCATTGTTCTCAGCTTCCCCTCGGCCCCCTCCCAAACAGCTGCTTTGCCTCCTAAATACACTCCCCCGACCTCTCCAAAGAAAAGGTGCCGCTAAGAGGCAGGCCAAACCCTTGCTCTCCTTTCTATTAATAAGGCAAAATCAATTTTCTAGTCAGTCCCCTGGGAGTCTCTTTGGATGAAATCCGCTAATCAATCAAAAGAAAAGAGTGGGGGAGGCAGAAACCCCCACCATAATCCCAGCTGCTGCCCAGAGGCGCAGTCTGTTCCGAAGCTGCCCCTCCTCCTGTCCTTTCCGCAGGCCAGCTCCTCCATAACATTCTGGGGCTCCCTGGCTTTCTCCCCCAGAGCCAGGCAGACACAGACACTTGGTAGTTGTTTCCACCAGCCCGATCGGCCTGAACTGGATCTGCCTCCAGTCAAAACACTGCTCGATGAAGACAGAAAATTGGCTCCAGTTTCCAGCCGTGAGTTGCAGTCCCACAGGAGCCAAGCACAACATCAACGGGGCAGGCGGAATATTAAGCAGGAGCCAGGGCTCCAGGGCCAGAGGCAGCCAGAATTCTCACTGCAAAGCCCAGACACAGGCAGGGACTTTCCAGGGGGCAGGGACCACTGCCTCCTCTGTGATGCTTACTGTTCCCCATCACCCGGGGACTGGGGCCACTTCTGGGGGCTCAGGGTTCTCACTTGGGTCTTCCTGGGACTCCAGGCAGGATCGAGGGTAGGCTGAAGGGAGAGCATGTGTGACCTTAAAGCAAAGACCCACGGGCCTCAGAGCCATGGTGATAGCGGAGCAGCCTCACTGTCTTACTAACTGCCAGTTTCTATGGGAAAACCAAACCTGAGCTCTCCCTACGGATTCAAGAACTGTCAGAAAAGTGATGGCAGACTTGCTCTCTGAAGATTGATGGTCTTTCAAATACACAGAAAGGGTCTAGTTCTTTCTTTCTTTTCCAAATTATACCGCTTTAATGTTTTGGGAAAGGGCGAATCCATCATTGTCTTGAGGGAGACCATCACACTCTGTGAGCTGTAACAGGGTCCACTTCCAAGTGCAGGAGGAAAATCAGGTGTGGGGAAAGAGCTCCATTAAAGCAACGAAGTCTTCTGGCTAACAGAGCAGAGCAGCTCCTGGCAGCAGGGACTCACATCTGTTTCACCAGGCCTCTCTGCCTCCCCCAATTCAGGCCCAACCCCGCTGCAGACAGGCAGGTGTCCACCTTAGCCTGCTTGACCAGGGCGGCCCCTAAAGAGACTTCAGCAAGGAGTTTGAGAGAACCTTATTACAAGAGGGAAAAAAGAGGTTCACATAATTCTCTATGACTCCAAGAAGAAAGAGTGACCAAGCGTTTTACTTCTCTTTTTGAGTTATCAACCAAGAAATTTAGCCTCCACTGATTAAACAGACTATGGCATTCAGTCCATCACCCATCAAACTCTGCACCCAAGCAAGATATCACACTACAAGATGCTTCATTTCCGGAAGACTCTTGTGGAGTGGCCCATTTCTTAACTAACTCCAAGAGACCATCGTATCAGGAAATGCCACTGCCAGGAGCATACAAATCACAACGTTTTATCAGAATCAGTAGCCCTCTCTCATTGATGACAACAACAGTATTTTCCAGCTGGAAATTTGGTCTCACTTTTGTGCTGGATTCTGGAGGATCCAAGCCTTTGTCTAGTAGAACTTTTACTACATGTCAACAAAAGCAGGTTGGCAAGCCCATGCCCATTAGGAAAGAAAAGTATTCACAGGCTGCCTACATCATTTACTTTTTGGATGCTAAGATATTAATGGGCTATGCGTGTTATGTTGGCCAGTTTGTTTATATTCTAACGACGCTTGCACGGTAGCCTTTTTGGTTAAGAATTTGGTGTTTCTATTTGTCAGTATTGTTTCCAGCATATGAAATTCCATTATTATCCATTCAAACTTGAAATGTGGCATAATAGTTTTTATCTTGGCTGTTTCTTTTGTTTACAACATCTAATTTCAGTAGTTTTTCTTTTTTGAATTGGAAACGGTTACACACAAAATCCTAAATGAGACAGGCTGAGTTCTGAGAGTGATTTATTTAAGTCTGAATAAAACATGAACGAGTTCGGATTATTTGGGATTGGGGAGGGGATTTTGTAATTGAGTCTTCCCAGTGTATTTAAAACTTACACTGGGATGTTAACAAATGGAGAAGGCAAGTTTAACATTCATGAAATATTGTACAGCAAGCACTAAGCACCAGTATTTAACAGGAATCTTTTTGGGCCAATGAAGAGGGCCAAATTCATTATTCTCTGTATGGTGAGTTTTATAATTCTGCCATGGGACTCAGAAGTTCATGTCTACATACTTATGTGCTATTAATACTAAATATTGCCACAAAGATATATATTATGGAAAATGGTTTTAACATCAGAAGTGAGCAGATTCCAAAGGAGTATTTAAGTGTGTTTCTGCATGGGTTAAAAAACTTTACGAGCCCTAATCCTTCACCTTCAGACTTCTCGCTGTCTCCTCTGTCACCCAAGTGGATCTTTCCCAGATCGTGGTCACAGTACATTTAGCAGACATTTCCACGCTATTGGGTTTTCCCAGGTAAGCTGGGTTTACCCTTTGCTTCACTTTGATGCTAACAGAAGAGGGTGGCTAAGGATTCGCCACACCTCGAGTCTAACAGGGGGTGCCTGGTCACGTTTGGCTCACCCCACCTCCCATCTGTCACTGGAAATTAAAGAATATTTTACTAAGAGCATTATAGCAGTCAGAAGACTGATTCAACCCTGGAAAGCTTGGAAGGAAAAGACTGGCTCTTTCCAACCCATTTTTGGCAAGCCCAGTCTTAAATGCTCTGCCCAGGTAGAATGGAGCCCTGACCTCACCGTGGTCCCTACCAAGATCCCAAATGGTCGTCCCCCGGCTGTGGCCGGACAAAATCCTTCAACCCTTCCAAATACACAGATGTGGCCCCTGCATGCACCTGTCTGCCCTGGGAGCACACTTCTTCGATGAAGTCCAGAGGCCCGGAGCCTTAGGCTGGGCCAAACAAGGCCGGGGCTCCCGCACCCCGGGCCCAGCCCAGGCCCACGGTGGGCGTTGGGGACCCGGGCTTGGCTGGCCAATTCCCTGCCGGCCGGCTGCAGCCTCCCCGGGCCGCGCTGACACACCCCGGCCTCTCCCTCCCGGGCAGGGGCAAGAAACGACACTCCAAGTGTCTGGGAACAAAGGCAAGTTGTCTTTGCGATGCCCCAGCCCAGTGCCTCTTCCGAAGAATGACCTATTATTCCTCTTCTTCCTTTCTTCTTAAACCAAGTTTCCTTCTAAGGGAAACAAACACCAAAGGTAGGATTCCAAGGGGGTGACTCACGGCGCCCTCAGGCTCGGCCTGGCTGGCCCGCCCCCGCCCCCGCCCCCGACCCCAGCCCGGCCCCG